TAATAATAAAATAATATCCAAAAAATTTATGACATTTTTCGTTTGATATTTTCATTCCGTCTACTCCTAATTTTAATTTTAATTAATAGATTCCGACAAAAAAAAAATTATGTAAAGAAATAAATTAGATACTTTTATTTTAAAAGACATTATATACATCTAGAAAATGGATAATTTTTATTTTATTTCTTTTGCTATCTGTTGTGTGTTTTTTTTTTTTTTTTTTAATATTTTGTTTGTTCTTCTTATTTTTGTTTATGTATATATAGACATTATATACATCTGTGTATTATCTTAATTTATTATAGGTAACAGGTTAAGAATTAAACGTTTGTTTATTTATATATAGACATTAATTTTGAAAAAACTGTACTTAGGATATTAATTCAAAATTAAATTAAGATAAACTTTTTTTATTTATACATATATATATATATATATGTACTTTTATGAAAAGAGAAGATTAAAAGATAAAAAAAGAAAAGAGAGATTGTCATCTCCTCCTAGAGCCCAAAACAACAAGTACATAATTAATCTTTAAGCCACCAACCACCTCACTCTAAAAAAAGCCGACAACATCCCGACATGTTAATGCGCTTCACTACCGTCACCATCATCAAATTCACGGCTTCCAATAACTGCCAGATATACAATATATTATACATATATATACATAATACACAGATGGTGCTTGGAAATTGATCATCTGCAGGGTTAGCCAAGGTCCATATAACTAATAACTAGAAGAAGAATAAGAGGTTGGTCTGCTAGAAAAGATGGGTAAATATATTAAATGGTTTCAAATGTTTGAGTTCTGTGATTCCAAGTGTACAAAGGATATAATAAAGCATTCTTGAACCCATTCAAAGACTAAAAATTTAAACAAGGAAAAAGGGTCTCTATGGAATCTAAATCCAGAATCCTATGACCGATTAAATATTTCAAGCAAAATTTTTAAACATAAATAAGGCTGAAAGAAAAGATATGTAACCTCCTCAATCACTTGCTTAAGTCTTTTTCACCCTTCAATGATTCATCAAAGGCAATTCTTCCTAACAAATTTGCCATTAAACTGAGCTCCTCTTGCAATCGAGTTCGTTACCTTGAAACCGGAAACTGTACATATGAAAGAAGGATAACACGCAGCCTGTCGGAACTCAGGTATGTCCCAGCAGCAGAAATCATATGAGACGTTCAAGTAATGCCACATGATAGAAAAGTGAACCAAGCACCATTGAGAATGCGTAACAAAATTCACTTAAGAAAGCTCCTAGTTTCCTGCATTGACATTCTCAGTCCATGTTCCAAGCAGTTGATTATCCACGAGCTTTCCCGCTCCCAAGGGTAAGCTCTAGATCATCCACACCAATTTCATGAATCCTCTCACCTTCCCATGGCTTCACTCTGCCATTCTCAAACTCAAACTCAGACCCCCTACCCCTTTCAGTTACTCCCCAGGGTAACCCTCCATGTCCATCAACACCATCCTGAAGCGAATTCTGTTGAAATACAGGTTTCACAAGATTGAATGTGGGTGAAGGAGGAGCAACTGCTGCTGGGGCTGCCACTGTCTGAAAATTAACCCACCTACCAGAGTCCACTGTTGATGCATCAGACTCATCACATTCGGGTATTGTGGCCGGTGTTAAATGGTGACGGCGTGAAGGGCTTGATGGGGCAGAGACAGCAAAAAGCGGGTGGCGCAGAGAATTTAGGGAGCCATTGGATAGAGACTCCCAATCAGGTTTTGGCTTAGA